GGGCATCTGCAAATGAACCAGTCGTTACACCTGAGCGCACACCCACAAGCTCTGACTGGGTTCGGTATCCCGTCTGCTTCCTTTCTTGGGAAGTAAACCCAAGTACAAAATATTGCACTTTTGATTTGCGATTGTACGCTTATAATTTAGTTTTTATGTTTTTTCATAACCAGCAATGTATATCTATGTCATGAATCAGTGATAATTGTGTTTTATATTATGTTTGATTTTTTGGTTGCATGTGACCTTTAAGCTTTGTACTTAAAGTGGACTTGTTTGTATGTGCAGACTTAGTATCGTCGCCATATGGCTGAAATAATGCCGATGAGACCTAAACTTTTAACTCTCAGGCAAGTTCGAAGTTGTAGTCGTATTTTATCAACTTCCACTTAAATCATGCTCCATACTTCGAAATAGGTAACTTTGGGTTGTTTATATTCTCAATTTCACACAGTTGTTGGTGATCTATAGCCCGTTTTTAGATTGTATTGTCTTCATAAATAAAGTAGTTTTACATGTTCATGCTAGTTTTAGACTCCATCTGTGATACTCTAGTTATTTTACAGTCCTTCGCTGACTGATTCTTTAGCAACTTTAATTTATTATTTATATAAAACATCTCTCGTCACTATATGGCTGAAATATTGCCGATGTGACGTTAAATATTAACTCACTCACTCACTCACTCACTCAATTTCACAAACCAAGGTAGATATTTAAAGATTTATTTCTTCAACTTCACACCAAATCACACCATACATGTAAAATTCATGTACAACGCAAGATAAGAGAAAATTTATTTCATTACTATTTTTTTATATTATTTTTATCATTATGTGACGTGAGAAGGAAAATGATAGCTTTAAGTTTCTTTACGTAATTGTATAGTTGTTTTACTGTTCATTGTTGACAGATTATATACTATAACTGTATTCTTCATACATTTCTGACTGGTTTTACTCACGATATGGGTGAAATATCACCGATGTGACTATAATTCTTAACTCACTCTCTTTGTGGTGGCACCCGTGAAGAGCCACCCCATCGTGGTGGGTGCTGGGTAACGCTAAGCGCTCTTCAATCCCCCGTTGTGAACCCGGGGGTATATTTGGTCCACCAACCTGTTTGCCGTGGGTTGCGCCCCTGTGTCGGTGGAGGACGGGAGTCTGGTGGTTAAGGGCACTGGTTCCAGGAACAGTGTTCCTTTGCCCAACACACCACTTGGCCCCTTGCTTCACCTAGACGGGTGGTAGAACTGGCCCGGTTCTATCAATCGGCTGGTCATGCTAAGCCCTGTACATGTACATTTTGCTGCACAAGTTTTAGAAATTAGTAAAAAAAATTGTCAGTTGTCTTAGCTTCATGAAAATATATTTGAATGTTGATTGTTCAACTCCAATTTTATAATTTGCCTTGAGTCATATGTCCAGAAGGCAGTGGCTCATGGGCCAATCTGGTGTAATAATTACTTGTTGATTATTCTGCTTGAGTATATCATGCGGGTATCCTTGATGCTGCACTCTTGAAACCCGCCTGTTTTTAGCATTGTCCTAGTGATACTCCGTGGTGGGTGGGGAGGGCGGATGACGAATTCAATACAACTCACCATGGAATACCAAACCAGAACAAAAAAACGAAACGTCCACTCGACAATGATGACGACGAACAGCGACCCTCTAAATCCGTTGATTACTGGCTTCGTTTTCTGATTCTTGAGACTCTTAATCAGACTCCCTTAAAGCTGAATCCGTTTGCGATATCAAAGGGTGTCCACGGAATAGCAGGAGAATTCAAAGGCGTGAAACGCTTGCGTTCAGGATCTCTTTTGCTTGAATGTAATAGAAAACAGCAAGCAACCAACCTGCTGTCCACCGAAAATGTTTGTTGGAGTTCTGGTTAAGGTCTTTGCACATAGAACTCTGAACACCAGTAAAGGTATTATATGAGATCGAGATCGTCTATATGACTGAGATTGACATTGTATCAGAAATGAAGGATCAAGGAGTGATACATGTAAAAAGATTTTCGACCCGGAAAAATAATGAGACTGTTCAAACTAACACATATCTTTTTTCGTTTTCTGCACCGAATCCGCCAAAATCAAGCAGGGCAGGTTACTGCAATGTTAACGGTGAATTGTACATCCCCAAACCTCTGCGGTGTTTCAAATGCCAAACGTATGGACATGGTGTGAACACTTGCACATTGTCTGTTACATGTGCTCACTGTGCTGAGAATACACATGTAACAGAAGATTGTGACAGTAGTTCCCAAAAATGTGCAAACTGCCACGGTATTCATTCATACGTTTCTACGGATTGTCCCATTAGGAAAAAAAACAGAATTAAAATCACCAATATTATCAGTTTTGGTGAAGCCAACAAGTTGACACAGTCAACTGATATTACTGAAACCTATGCAGCCATCGCCAGGAAACCCTCAGAAACAACTCCAAAAGAAAACACTTCAATAGGAATTACTTTGTCACATGCCTGTCAAACAGACTTGACATGGATCAGCACGGACACTCCCGAACTCTTTTCCCCTGAACAATCAACACAGACAGAAAATTCACTTCCTGATTAGCAGAACCTCTCTCAGCAACAATCTCTTATTTCACTCACTCGATCTCAACCTGAGAAAAATGAAAAACGAACAGGAAAAACAAAAGTCAAACCAAGATCAGAAACTTCAAGAACAAATACAGCCCCTAAAGGGTCAGACAAGATCACACTATCTAATAAGTTTGGGTCATTGGAAGATATGGATGTGTCTGATAACATCCATCCTCGGGCACATAGCTCGTCGCCTTCCAAGAAAGTGCAGGGTAGATCCCCAATCAACCCACCCAAAAGATAATGTCTTCCAGAAATATACTACAGTGGAATTGTAGAGGATTAAGGACTAACTTTAATGAGTTACATCTATTAGTCAACGATCTGGCACCATCATCATTCTGTCTTCAGGAAAACCATCTGAAACAGACATATACTTTAAATCTACGTCGGTACGATGCATATCATTCCTTCTCACCTCCGGGTGATAGAGCCACTGGTGGATCTTCAATCCTTGTTAAGCAGGATGTTATTCACAGCCCTGTCCCACTTACAACTAATCTTCATGCCATTGCAGTGAGCCTTACACTTCATGTTGTCTTTACATTATGTTCATTGTATATTCCGCCTTCTTCAACACTTCACCTGACTGATCTTCAAGCCCTTTATGATCAACTTCCGATATCCTGCATTATAATGGTTGATCTTAAGACCATAATCCACTGTGAGGTGGTACAAATAATAACACTAGAGGTAAAATACTGGAAGATTTTATCTCAAATAATGACCTGTGCATATTCAATGATGATTCAAGAACTTATCTGCATCCTGCAACAGGCACCTACTCTTCTCTGGATTTGTCTCCTGCAGACTCTAATCTACTTAATGAATTTGATTGGTCAGTACACAATGACCTCTGGCAACCGTGAAGAGCCACCTCGTCGTGGTGAGTGCTGGGTAACGCTAAGCGCTCTTCGATCCCCGTTGTGGACCCGGGGGTATATTTGGTCCACCAACCTGTTTGCTGTGGGTTACGCCCCTGTGTCGGTGGAGGACGGGATTCTGGTGGTAAAGGGCACTGGTTCCAGGAACAGTGTTCCTTTGCCAAACACACCACTTCAGCCCTGACTTCACCTAGACTGGTGGTTGAATGGGCCCGGTTCAACCAATCGGCTGGTCATGCCGGGCCATGAGCACTCTATTTTCATTGCTCTATCACTCTTTGGCTAAGTTTTGTATACACATTTTTAAACTTATTGTGCTTGTAAGTTTATTATTATACACTGCTTTTTGAAACGTTTGAAAAGTAGAAATATACCTAGATGCTGGTGCCAGAAGGCGATGGCTCATGGGCCAATCTGGTGGAAAAAATAATCTTTTAGTTTTTCTGCTTGAGTATATCATCCGAGTATCCTTGGGGCTGCAGGTTGGAGACCCACTTGTGTTTAGCATTGTCCTTGTGATACTCCGTGGTGGGTGGGGAGCTTTTGACCATTCAAAACTAGCCATGGCTTATGAAACCCCCATTAAAAAAAAAAAAAACGTCCACTAGACACTGATCCTGTTGATACTGACCACAGACCATCCCTATTGATTGAATATTGGCCACGTTTCCTTGTGATTGAGACTCTTGACAAGACGCCCTTAAAGTTGAACCCTTTCACAGTATCTGAGGGTATTCAAGGTATTGCTGGGGATGTCAAGAACATTAAATGCTTACATTCGGGTGCGTTGCTAGTTGAGTGCGGAAAATAGCATCAGTCAATCAACTTGATGAATACTGAATCGTTCGTTGGCTTCAGGTCACGGTCTCTGCTCACAAAACTTTGAACACAAGTAAAGGTATCGTCAGGGATCGTGATTGTTTGCTGATATGTCAGAACATGACATAGTATCAGAGATGAAAGATCAAGGTGTGCTTTATGTCAAGCAGTTTTCAACTCGAAAAAACAATGAAACTTTCAAAACAAATACCTATCTGTTTCCCTTTTCGTCTCCAAATGCTCCCAAATCACTGAAGGCAGGTTACTGTAAAATCCAAGTTGACACTTATATCCCCAACCTGCTCAGGTGTTTTAAATGCCAGAAATATGGACACGGTGTAAATACCTGCGCATGGTCTGTTGTATGTGCTCACTGTGGTGAGAAGACACACACAACAGAAGATTGTAACAGGGATTTTAAAAAGCGCACCAACTGCTCAGGCGACCATTCATCTTTTTCAAAAGAGTGTCCGATTTGGAAAGATGAAATGGCGACAAACAAAATCGAATTTACCAAAAATATCACATTTTCTGATGCAAAAAAACTGGCAAATCGATCCGACCTTCCAGGAAGTTATGCTGCATGGCCAAAACACCGTGTAGCTCTAAAATAACAAAATCATCCACTAGCTGCCAAACAACCTTGACTTGGGTCAATTTCGACTCTCCACAGCTTTTGTACCCTGCGATATCATCTCAGACTGGGGAATCACTTGCTGGTACGTCAAAGTCTTCTTCTGATCATAAATCATCTTCTCAATCACGCTCAGAGTCTCAATCGTCATCCGATAGTCAACAAATTGTTAAAAGTAAAATCAAACCTAAGCCTGATGTTTAAAAAAAACAAAACGGCAGAGCCCCAAAACGGTCGTAAAATAGAGTTCAGTTGTTCAACAAACATGGATCTCTTGAGGACATGGACGTATCTGAAAACGTCCATTCTAGGGCACATAGCTTGTCGCCCTCCAACCAACTGCTGGGTAGATCCCCAATAAATCCCCCCAAAAGATAGATTATTCCTATAGTATTGTGCAGTGGAACTGCAGAGGACTGCGGACTAATTTAAGCGATTTACAGCTATTAGTCCAAGATTTTATACAATCAGCGATCTGTCTACAGGAGACATATTTAAAACAGACAGATACTTTTGACCTTCGTCATTTTAATGCATATCATTGTTTTTCACCTCCGATTGATAGGGCCACTGGAGGATCTTCCATCCTAGTCAAACAGAACGTTATCCATAGCCCTGTTGCACTTACTACTAATCTTCAGGCTGTTGCAGTGCGACTAACTTTGCACGTTGCGTTTACATTATGCTCTCTCTATATATCTCCGTCTTTAACGTTTCACAAAACTGATCTTCGAGCTCCATATGACCAACTCCCGAAGCCCTGTATTATTATGGGAGATTTAGATGGGCACAACCCATCTCTTACCCAACGCCGTATAAAACTATCATTACAGTATATTACCAAACTATATTCTAACGAGTCTAATCCTGCATTTCACTGCATCTTTAATACTCTTTATGAGGATTTGTACAACAATAAATCTTCTCTTGTTCCGCCTCTCGGGCTCAGGATTAAGTCATTCATTACTGCTTCTGGCATAGAGCTGGAAAATATATCTCCTTCCCGTCTTCTTTCTTCTCCTCCTTGGCAATTGGTTAGGTCACAAGTCGACCTGACACTCACTAAATTTAAAAAAATCAGAAACTAATGACTTACTATATAAACAAGAATATAATCAATTAAAAAGTAAATATAATACATATAAATCCTTATTTACAGATCGGTCCAAGGATGGTGGCGCGGTTGCTTGTGTCACTGTCATTGGGTCCAAAACAATATCTTCCAGATTACCCAATGACATTTTAATTTTCACAGCAGAAGCAAACGCAATACTAACAGCTCTTAAATATATAAATAGACACCCTAAGTATAAACAATGTATAATATTTTCAGACTCTCTTTCTTGCCTTTAGGCGATTAAAAAATTTCTTGTAAACATCCACTTTTAATAGAAATTATATAATGATCTCGCAACTGGCCAATGCGACATCGTCCTCTGTTGGTTACCCAGCCACGTTGGCATTTATGGGAATACAATGGCCGATCTTGCTGCAAAGTCAGCACTCAACAAATCTGTGACACCACTTCTTATTCCATACTCTGATTACATAGTAAGCATTAGAACTTACATCCGCGATCTGATGCAGAAGAAGTGGGACACCCAAGTGGGTATTAATAAATTACATGAAATAAAACCCTATATTGGTTACACCTACTTGGGTTGTCAGTCCAGATTTGAGGAGGTCATCATGCGACGATGTCGTAAAGGGCACACAAGATATACGCATGAGTACCTATTGAAAGGTGAGGATCCTCCGTTTTGTATCCCTTGTGATGAAAGAATCACCGTCAAGCATGTCTTGCTTGATTGTGTTGAATATTCCATCACAAGGGACAACTATTTCAAATCACGAACTCTGAAGGATCTTTTTACTTATGTCAGTTATCATTTAACTATTGCATTTTTAAAAGAATTAGATTTGTAAAATGTTTTGTAAATAGATACATATTTTATTATTGGTAGTTTAGATCAGTAACTAAGAATGTTAGTGGCTGTACCCTCAAAGGGGGTTAAGGTACTGTAACATTATTGTCCTCCTGAGAGGCTACGTAAGTCCCAAAATTTTCAAAGTCAATTTACATTTTCCAGGACTTTTAAACTTAGTGTTCTTGTAATGTTAACCTTGGCTAACATTTCTTACAATCACCAGCAGCTGAAGAAATGACGTAAATCCAGCTAGGGTCCATGCAGGTAGCAAATGTAAAAGTCCCCATTGACCCTAGTATGGTGATCTATCTTCAGTTGTTGGTGATCTATAGCCCATTTTTATTTTGTGTTGTCCCCTATGGTAAAAAATGTTTTCGACTAAATTACTAGTTTTACATGTATATCAGTGATATTATAGTTGTTTTACTGTCTTTCGTCTGGAGGTATCTATAATATCTATATATATTCTATTTCAATGTCAAATGTTCTCGTCGCGATATGGCTGAAATATTGCCGATGTGATGTTAACTAGCTAATACCTCACTCACTCATTCACTCACTCACTCTCATCCTAACATGAATGGCTTTATAAGTGGACTATTATTATATTATTACTATCCGACAGTCCAATATCTTTTTTAATAATCTCGCATTACCGTGGCAGTTTGTAAAGCCACAGGTTCATTAAGCATTAAAAAAGTACATAAATCCGAATAATTGATCAAGATGAGTATATCCAATTAAAACACGCGTTCAATAATTACAAATGTACATTTCAAAATGCGTCCAATGATGTGTCCTGTGTTCATTGTTGACTGTGGCATTAAACGATACATACTTATTAAAATCAGTGGAAATTACTATATTTTGTATCAAATATAAATTACAAATTCTAGGCTGTTGGTTATTCATAATCCAACCGTAAGATTGCCATGAATGAGCTTTAATGTATCAATAGTAATGGTTTCATTAAGTTGTTATTAAAAGCAGTCGGTAGTCGCTTTATCTAATAAAAACGGACTAATATTACATTCCATTTTTCTGATTCGATGAACACAGGAACACCTCAGTTTCCTCTGAACTTTATCAAATCATAATTACAATATCGTCTGGCAAAAATATTGCACATTAACTCTTGACACGCCCCCCAGTAGGTGGTATTGCTTATAAGGTAGAGAACCTCGGCTCACACCACACATTTGACGATCACCTGAATCATGTTGGGATATGTAATCCTGCTGTCCGTGTTGTCCACGTGTGTGGGAGGGGCAAATGTCTGCTGTGCCCCTGATAAGTGGTTTACCCAGAGATTCTCCGCTGGTCTTGCTCTGTCAAAAGTAGAGGGGGTGAATGTTCCCTTCGTCGATGCCGTAAGTAAACTCCCTCGATAATTTAACTGAATGTTCCTCTCTCTCTCTCTCTCTCTCTCTCTCTCTCTCTCTCTCTCTCTCTCTCTCTCTCTCTCTCTCTCTCTCTCTCTCTCTCTCTCTCTCTCTCTCTCTCTCTCTCTCTCTCTCTCTCTCTCTCTCTCTCTCTCTCTCTCCCTCTCTCATATATATATATATATCTTCAAAGGCACCTTTTTAAACTCGTTAACAGGGGTGTTTATTGTGGGGTAATCAACTATTGCGACACAGTCTTAATCCCTCGGCAAATGCATTCTCTTTCTGTCTCTTTTTATCTGGTCAAATGCATGAACGAGGTAGAGACGACTCACGAGTCGATGTTCATTACGATCACTGGATAGTTGTGTCTATACTCAAACCTTCTGCGCAATCATACCCCGCTCATCTATCAATTTCTCAACATATGCGGCGTTATGGAATCAATCCTCCCATAATTATGAGGCATGTGGTTAAGGCATGAATTCTTGTTTCAGGGGAGTTCTGTAGAATACTACGATGCCGCCAATGAAAGGATAGCCATCATCAGCAACTTCAGCCTTGACAACACCAAAGGAGAATCCAAAGTCATTGCCGATCACAAAGGGGTAAGGTTAATCTTACCTTTCTTTTCTTCCTTTATTTTTTGTTTCACACTGAAGTTTTGTGAGTGAGAGAGTGATTGGGTTGGTGAGCATTTAAGTCATATAGTGACTTTGTAAACTATCTAGCTTATAAAAATAAAGGTTTAAATGTCATCGAAAGGGAGTAAAATAAGTAGAATATCACAGACTTAGCCCCTGGTCCCTAGTATGATGATCTACCTTCAGTTGCTGACGATCTATAGCCCGAATTTGTATTGTGTTGTTTTGAAATGATTTAAATTTTTACACTAAACTCAAACTAGTCTTAATGAATTTGTGATCATCTAGCCGTTATACTGTCCTTAGCTGACAGGTTTTTAAAGAGTATATATACATTTCTTCTTTGTACTTAACTTTTTGTCGTCACGATATCGCTGAAATATTGCCGATGTGACGTAAATTTGTAACTCACTCAACTCAAAATACAACAAGCAAGTAACCACAAAATGATATTTCCATACACATTTTACATGATAAAATCCGGCTATTAATCCCTACAAATATTCCCCAATACACAAAGTGATGACTTTCGTCATTATCATAACAGTGTGTATATACTCACACGCAAAAGTAACGCAAGTCAAGTATAATGCAGATATGTATGTAATTTTCAATATTAAACACAAGGAATGCAAACAGGGTCAAAAAGACCAAAAAAATTAGTGAAGACATTTCATTGGCTACCAAGACTGATGACATCATTAAGTGTTTGAAAGGTAAAGGGGTTGACAAGAACGGATCTCGCTGGTGTTGATGGGTAATGTTCCGATCTTGTCGATTGGTGGTGACCAATGGACGACCGCTGCGAGGAAGGTCATCTGTGTTCTTTGTAGCGTTGTATCGATGCTGGAGACGGTAAAAAGTGGTTATGTTTACGTCAGAATGACGGTAACCATTTTGGGCAGACACTTCAGCTTCCGAACGTCTGATAGCCTGCTTTCTTTCAATTCGAGTTAAGCGTGGCGTTGTTGAACAAGGAGTAATAGACCTAATTTTTGTACAGTCTTATACCCACTAATGGTGGTGACAATTCGTGCATGTTGGATTCCACGAGAAGTGTGTGCATGATACCCACATGTTCATTGGTAAGGAGCGTTTTGGTGATTCCTTCTGTTTTTGCTCGGGCCTTCCAAAACGCAACAAAAGTTATTGATAACATCAGGCTTCACTATATCCATATCAATTTAGGCTGGGAGTTTGTTTCCTAATTGGATAAAAAACTTGCGTATCTTATGTGTGTGAGTATATATATATATATATTATTGTTAAGAAAATCTCACACGCAAAATATATGGAAAACACACACACATATATACATATGTGTTGTCCGTATCTTTTGCCTGTGTGATTTTCTTAACAATTCCATCATTATCATAACAGATACTGTGGAAACCGCCTAAGTAAAGACCGCTTAACTAAACAGACCTGATAAGTAAACACTTTTCTTTGGTCCCGGCAAATTTCTTCATTAATTATCACTATTAGAGTCTGGTTAACTAAACTCGGATAAGCAATTATCAGCTTTAATCCACGTTCCAGTGTTTGAATGTAATGGACTTAGCTTGCCTATACCCATGTGTTGGGGTCACATCCTGACTATACCTACGATCGTTAATAGTGGTTTTACATATCGATCCTATGACTGATCAAAATATCATTGGCAACAAGTGCTTTGATTGGTTGAAACAAACAACTTCCGAGCAATTCTACGACAGAAACCAATGGTATCCTGTGTTTGTAATTAATTATTCCCTTGTCAATTTCACATATATAATATGGCAAGAGTGACGTTTTGACGGGTAAGGCAGTTGATCAGAGGATAGACGCTAACCTGGGCGGGAGTATCCTAAATATCGTCACAAGTAAAGGATTTTCCGATAGTCAACTGTAAAAGACCTCTGACTGCTAATGATGTCGACTGCTAAGACAAAAACAACTTACATAGGAAATATAATAATGTGATGTTATTGTCTGTATTAAACATTGCCCAAGTTATTTTTGTCGAAATATTTTTCACAATTCTTATTAATTATTTGAATGTCAATTATATTCAGTTTAGACAGACGTGTCAAAGTACGCAGTATTGTCAAAAACAATATATACTGTAAATCAGAATCTATGCTTGCAAAAAACGCAATCAAAATATCTTTTGCGTGTGTTTTTTTTTTTTAAATGGCGTAAAAAACGCAGGTCTCTGTGTTAACGCGAACACTGTTATCGGCTTTTCACTTTATACAAATTGAACGTGATGTATTGTGTGTTTAAGGATTCAACAAAAGCATGATACTGGAGAAACACGTCTGTAGGTCTCAATTAAAATCAACTGACAAGCAGTCAGTTGACATATTGTTTACATATCGCTACCATTGCTAGAATGACTTAAAAGATTTAACGTGACGCGGTAGTGAACGAGAAGCACACCCTTAAAAAACAATATATATACGCATTTTTGGCACATTTACAAGTATACGGACCCGATGACATACATTCAAATGAGAATTTATACGTGCATTTTGTAAAAGAAACTTTTAGAATGATTGATTAACATTTGAACGGTATCCATGGAAACATGTAAGCGTGTGTATTTTGGGGGGTAAGTTTCATCGGTCTGTATTCAGCCTCCGACCCTGAATACGTTGGGATATTTGATACAGTTATTTCCTTATAAAAAGAAACACGATGAGACAAATACATGAATAAATGCAACCGACCTTTCATTGAAGCATTGCAACTGAATGAAAAGTCATTATATGTTTGTTTAGGTAGGTTGGTTGGTAGGTAAGGCCTTAGGACGACATTAGGTCTGAAAGCTTATATGAGCACGAAACACTTTAACTGTTCTAGTCATGTTTATGTAAATTCTCTCACATCGTCCTGTTTCTGTGATGGTGTTTAACACAGCTCCTTGTGTGCAACCATACATTAGATTATCCCCGCGTGTTGTGTTAATTGCACAAAAATGTTCATGGTTTTGCTAAGAACAGACATGTTGATATCCTGGTATTTCATGAGCTGAGGGCGATGAGGTAGCCTAGTTGTAAAAGCGTTTGCTTGCCACGCCAAAAACCGAGGGCGATTCTCCACATGGGTCCAGTGTGTGGAGGCCATTTTTTCTGGTGTCCCCCGCCGTGGTATTTCTGGAATATTGCTTAAAGTAGAGTAATAATCACTCACTCACTCACTCATGAGCTGGTCAGTCATAGAGACAATAGTGAACCGGTTCTTGGCAGTGTAAGTTACAGTTTTCAAATACATTTGTATGCATTCAAGCCATAGTGGCCTAGACTAAAGTCAAAAGAATTTATCTACTACACCATTACAATGTGGTGGTTTTAATTGTTATCAATATTTTATGATTGACTGAACACCTGGTACTGTTGTGTTTAAGGGTCTGCTCTATACAATTGATCTAAAGAAGAGTGTGTGTCGTGTCCAGAAGTTAACCCTTCCATTTGCTAAGTTTTGTGTGACAGGTAAGTATCATATATACTTAACATATATGTTACGGTAAAAGATGTCTACGAGGTCATTTGTTGATTAATGTCGCATTCACGAGTCAAATGTGTCTTAAAGCCTCACTCGAATAATATTGATGATGGTCTCTTATGGTTAGCACTGGTGTGAAACTAACGGGTCCATATTAAGGAACTGGGGTGATAGGGTTGCCTAGTGGTTACAGCGTTCGTTTGCCACGTCAAATACCTGAACTTGATTTCCCAGATGACTTCTTTGGGTGAAGCCAATTTATGGTGTCACCCGCCGTTATATTGCTGGAATATTGCCAAAAGCGGTGTGAATCCATAATTGCACACTCATCGACTACGAACATGATAGTTCCTACAGTGTCAATGGTTGATTAAGGCATGTTATCAATGTTGTCTTGGCCAGTGCAAGTTTCCACGGAATATTGTGAAAAGCGGATTAGTATTTAACTCACTTACTATTACGTAATGATAACAATTGCCTTTGTGTACAACAATTTTTCACAACTTGTCTGTCATGACAATGATCAAGAAACTTACCGAGTTATCTGTTTTGCAGATAAATTCAAAAAAGCGTTTGACTTCACTCTTGGATTCGGAAGTAACTCGCTGTCATCAACAATTTACTATGAACTCGACCGTGGCTTTGGTCCGCACCCCAACAGCGTGATAGACAGCTTCGTTGTTGTCTCGAAAGAATGCATTCCCTTACAAACAGACCTCTACGGAAAGGATAAATGTGAGTAGCATTTCCACCACTAGTTACTGTGTTCCTTTAATGAGAAAAGGAAAACTATTCCGTGATGTTTTTATATTTCTACCTTCTTCAGGACTATGGAGTGTTCGCCTACCTATAGTTACTGGTGATCTGTAGGGCGAATTTTGATATCGTCCTGTTGATTAATTGTTGTTTTGCTTTAATTGCTATCAACCTATTTTAATTATATCTGTGATATTCTAGTTATTATACAGTCCATCGATGACAGGTTTCCTATTCACACAATATTCAGTATTTATATTCAAATTGTCGTCACGAAATGACTTAAATATTGCCCTTGTGACGTAAACTTTCAAACTCATTCATTTATGTTCAGCATTACTTTTGAGCAATCACGCATGTAGTGTTTTTATGAAAGAATCTTATTTAATGCTATGTGTTTGAGTGCATGATGTCAGTCCTATCTTCAGAAACTGGTTTACTGTGCAAACGTTTCAAACGTGATATTGCTGGAATTTGCTAAAAAATAGCGTAAAACCACACTTTCTCACTCAAAGTCACAAAGATCAGGTAGCAAATGGATGCATGCTTCATAGAGTGGGATAACCTTCTTGTGGTCACCCCCAATACCACTCTATCAAAAATGGTCTAGGCTAGTACAAGCTTTTACAACCGCATGCACACACACACAAGTGTATGCTCATCGCATTGACGTGCCATGATCGTTTAAAGTGTTTATACTCATGTGACAAAAACGACATTTAAATAATATAATTACTTTGATTTGATTTGGTTGTTGTTTAACGCAGCACACAGCAATTTTGAATATATTTATATTGTCAGAGGATGTTGGAGTAAAATTAGCATAATTTGTATTCCTATTTAGACAACTTCCTTCAATCAACTGGTTTTTCAAACCTCGGTGCAGAGTTCGATGAATCTGTCTTTGATCCGCCAGATTTCTGCCCAAAGTGTTCACAGGTAGGTGATACCATTTGAAAAGATGTATCTTAATGCAAAACAGATACTTATATTCCACCAAATGTGCAAATAATACAAATTCGCATAAAAAGAATTCGTACTTAAAATATTTGATTTTTCGAGAAAAACACCCAACAACAATACGGCCTATGGTCTTTCACAATTTTGTAGCTGAGGTAAAATTATTTGCAATATTTTTCAGGATGAAAATACATAAGTTAGTCAACCCCATTCCGCCCAGGTGGATTCAGCAAGCAAACATTTGTTCTTTTCAGTCTACGATGACAGACAATCCTTCTTTTCAAGAGATCCCTTTGCTGTGGAGAAGACGTGGCAACATGTAACCAGAATTATTTACAATGCCACCACAGAGGTTAATGTTCAGCGTTACCTCCTCGAGCCAGAATTCAAGAAAGAACAAAAAAGCGCCTTGAGCATGTGTTCCAACATGACAGCGTGCTAAACTGTTGATGTTGTCTGTTTAACACATTTTCCCTCACAAATAGCAGATGCCTGTATCTCCTTAATATTGGTATATTAGGATAATAGAAACTGTTGAAAATTACACCCCAAACCAGCGGTCATTCTTGTGTATAATTACTGGACGAAACGCTGAACATTCCAGTCTGTGGATACTGTTGTGTATATAATGATCCTTGTATTCGCCCCTCGCTGTAGTATGTGATGCATGTCAAAGCCGAAATAAATATTTTGTTTTCAGCATGGACACGTGTGTATTTGAGTTGTTATTCCACATCCTCCAGTGTGATATTAATCCTATCCCAGGTCACCCGTGAAGGTCTGTCTTAGAATTAGCCTTACCAACCATGCTTGTCGTAAGATGTCACTGACAGGACTAGGTGGTCAGGCTTGCTGACTTGGTTGACACATTTCATCGTATCCTGATCACTTAGACGGATGGTCATGCTGTTGACCACTGGATTGTCTGGTCCAGATTCGATCACATAGCTAGAATATTACTCAATGTGGCGTTAAACAAGATGTCACTGACAGGACTAGCTGGTCAGGTTTGCTGACTTGATTGACAACATGCCATCGTATCCTCATCACTTAGATGGATGTTCATGCAGTTGATCACTGGATTGTCTGGCCCAGACTCGACCATATAGTTATGATATTGATGAGTGCGGCGTTATACAAACACAATCCATTCCCAGCTTACCAGTACCCGATTCCAACAAAATCAGTCTTATTTATTTCTAGAATAACGAAGAAAATGAACAAGATTACCTTCATTAGATGTCACGGGCGCTGTAATGGAGAGATATAGCTTGATATTATACCATACAGACACCCATCCCACAGGCCTATGATACAAAAAGGCTAAGGAAAACATTTAAAAACGTAAAATTACACAATGCAGACATTGTGTTTACAAGGCAACAGGTAGCATCACATACATACAATAACACAATACCCACACCCAGTAAACATACAACCAAAACCAAAAATAAAAAAAATGTGAGGGGTTTTTTTCGGCGCCTAAAGATTAGTGATACGAGTGCGGCTCAGGGTTTAACAAAGTTTTCATTCCGCACGAGAAATATAGTCTGGTCAGTAAGGTACATAATAAGAAATAATGGATCAAATAAAGTTGTTTTTTCCACATGTCTGAATAAAAATTACAGCTTATGAAACAGGGAGTTTCATTCTCAGGTATGTTTGCTCTATAGAGCTTACAGATTCGATCTGGCAGTTATCATTCTTAGTAAGACAGCGAAGTTCACTCAAAAGACTGCGTTGTGATTCATTACTGTCCACATATTGTTGTACGCCTTAATCTTGTTAATGCTTGTTGTAACAGGCGACTGAAGGGTTTGGGTGGTTAAGCCCGGTAAGTGGTAATTTACATGTAATCGTGTCCCAGTTGCGCAGAAGGATGCGTGTGCTGTTGATCACCAGATTGTCTTGTCAAGACTCGATTACCTACTGACCACCGCCAGATAGCTGGAATATTGCTGATTGCGCTATTAACCAACAAACCAATCAGGCTGTGATGGGTGTATAATACGGCGATTAACAAGCAGCCAACCAACCCATCGCTGATGGGTCTACAACGCAGCGTTTATCAACAACCAGCCAACCAATCCAGACCTGATTGGTCAACCAAGCGTGACCACCCGATCCCGTTAGACGAGAACAACCAGCCAACCATCCCAGCCCTGATGGGTATACAACGCAGCGTTTATCAACAACAATCCAACCATCCCACACCTGATGGGTCTACAACGCAGCGTTTATCAATAACCATCCAACCAATCCAGACCTGATGGGTCTACCACGCAGCGTTTATCAATAACAATCCAACCAATCCAGACCTGACGGGTCTACCACGCAGCGTTTATCAATAATCATCCAACCAATCCAGACCTGATGGGTCTACAACGCAGCGTTTATCAACAACCAGCCAACCATATAAGCCCTGATGGGTCTACAACGCAGCTTTTATCAACAACAATCCAACCAATCCAGACCTGATGGGTCTACAACGCAGCGTTTATCAATAACCATCCAACCAAGCCAGACCTGATGGGTCTACAACGCAGCGTTTATCAACAACAATCCAACCAATCAAGACCTGATGGGTCTACAACGCAGCGTTTATCAACAACAATCCAACCAATCCAGACCTGATAGGTCTACAACGCAGCGTTTATCAATAACCATCCAACCAATCCAGACCTGATGGGTCTACAACGCAGCGTTTATCAACAAACACCTAACCAATCCCAGCCCTGATGGGTCTACAACGCAGCGTTTATCAATAACCATCCAACCAATCCAGACCTGATGGGGCTACAACGCAGCGTTTATCAACAACAATCCAACCAATCCAGACCTGATGGGTCTACAACGCAGCGTTTATCAACAACAATCCAACCAATCCAGACCTGATAGGTCTACAACGCAGCGTTTATCAATAACCATCCAACCAATCCAGACCTGATGGGTCTACAACGCAGCGTTTATCAACAAACACCTAACCAATCCCAGCCCTGATGGGTCTACAACGCAGCGTTTATCAATAACCATCCAACCAATCCAGACCTGATGGGGCTACAACGCAGCGTTTATCAACAACAATCCAACCAATCCAGACCTGATGGGTCTACAACGCAGCGTTTATCAACAACAATCCAACCAATCCAGCCCTGATGGGTCTACAACGCAGCGTTTATCAATAACCATCCAACCAATCCAGACCTGATGGGTCTACAACGCAGCGTTTATCAATAACCATCCAACCAATCAAAACCGATGGGTCTACAACGCAGCGTTTATCAATAACCATCCAACCAATCAAGACCGATGGGTCTACAACGCAGCGTTTATCAACAAACACCCAACCAATCCAGACCTGATGGGCCTACAACGCAGCGTTTATCAACAACAATCCAACCAATCCAGACCTGATGGGTCTACAACGCAGCGTTTATCAACAACAATCCAACCAATCCAGACCTGATGGGTCTACAACGCAGCGTTTATCAATAACCATCCAACCAATCCAGCCCTGATGGGTCTACAACGCAGCGTTTATCAATAACCATCCAACCAATCAAGACCGATGGGTCTACAATGCAGCGTTTATCAATAACCATCCAACCAATCAAGACCGATGGGTCTACAACGCAGCGTTTATCAACAAACACCCAACCAATTCAGACCTGATGGGCCTACAACGCAGCGTTTATCAACAACCATCCAACCAATCCAGACCTGATGGGTCTACAACGCAGCGTTTATCAATAACCATCCTACCAACCCTATTGAGTCCACAATTCGGCGTAAAACAACATCTGAAATACTGGTAATTGTGGCGTAAAATTAAACTCACACTCACTCATGTTGCTTTGAAGAACAATTTCTGGAGAATGTTTGCGGACGATGTAAATAATGTTTATCGATTATGATGTCTGTGGCAATAGTGGTCTCAATGCTCCTATACACTTAGGGACCGCCTCCGTGGTGTAGTGGTTAGAGCGTCCGCCCGGAGAGCGGAAGGTCGCGGGTTCGACCGCGTCATACCAAAAGACGTTAAAATATGGTACTTGTTGGTCCCTGCCTGGCGCTCGGCATTAATGGGTACAACCAGGACTGGTCGGCTCGGAGTCAGTATATAATGTGTCTGAGTGGGGTATTCATGCTTCACTGCGGCATAGTATCTCAGTGGGCTAGCACTAAAAAAACAGCTTTAGTCTGGGCTAGTACAAGCAGCCGCACATACACATACACACGCATGCACGTCGTCATATGAGCGATATATTCTCAAGCACGACGTTAAACCCAATTTCACCTCACCTATAAACTTAGAACTACTGGATATTTCCAATCGGTTAACATGTAACTCATGTGGCATCCTGATTAGACTCCTAAAGCAGTCACTGTGATACTGTTACCATGGCTTTAGCTAGGGTGAGAACTTAATGTTTTCAGGCGGATCAAGCTCAGTCAATCGTCTGGCATAGATTACAAGTCAACTCCACATACACAACAGCAATATGGCTGTTGCATATTTTACCTTGGATAAAAGAAAAACAAAACTGAAGTTGATATTTGGTGACAATGTATTTTCCATCTGAGAGGAATACACAAGAACATAAAACACGCAGTTGAGATGAGTTGAGTTGGGTTGAGTTGGGTTTTACGTCACATCGGCGTTATTCCAGCCACATAGTGACGGGATCAAGTCTGTATTCATGCACATATGAAATAAAAAGTCCAAATAAGAACCTGTGAACAAAAAAGAGACGCCACATTTGGAGATATGACTGACTGACTGAGTTTGGTTTTACGCCGCTTTTAGCAAAATTCCAGCAATATCACAGCGGGGGACACCAGAAATGAGCTTCACTCATTGAACTCATGTGGGGATTCGAACCCGGGTCTTCGGCGTGACGAGCGAACGCTTTAACCACTAGGCTACCACACCGCCCAATTTGGAGATATGAATCTTATTGACTATATATAGATATAGTTAAGTTGTTAATATGGACGAATACCATAATGGCCAGGTTGAATCTGACGCATCTGGCAATTTTATCTGTGAATTGCGCAGTTTGCATGCAACACGCTCTTTTGTGAAAACGGGAACATGCACGTGTTCGGGGTCACTCGGCTAGAACTTGAAGTGTCTTACCACAGACACGTGTGCAGAATTTGCTGGTGATTAGAAAATACCCAACACGTTAACAATCCTTGAGAAATAAACAATTATCATGTCAAGTCTTAGAAATGTTGAACGTGAATATGCATAAGAAAAGCAAGATTTATGGATGTCAACTTCATTATTGTGAAACACGACGTTTCGGAGTGTATGCTTGCTCCTTCGTCAGGTCATCTTATGCATTCCACATCTAAATGCCCTTCAAAGATGTGAATATGCATTCTCCATTCTGGCCACGTATGACGTCACATACCGATGACGTCATTTGTGTAATCTTTTTACGATCGCAACGACAGCCAGTGTTAAGGTAGCCGCGTGACTTTCCAGACCACCTCCATGCCCGACGGCCTTATGCTGGGACGATTTTGACAGAGATGATCAGTACCGAACATCTAGGCTGGGTACAAAGGAACCTGCAGATGGCTAAATGTCCGGCTATTAACGTCAAGGGGTGGCCAAATACATCACTTGACCTCAATCCCACCCAACACGTGTTTAAGTTATATTGACAGGTATGTACATATCATTAAGTAGTTGGGTTTTTTTGTATTTTTGCCGCACTCAGCAATATTCCAGTTATATGGCGACGGTCTGTAGATAATCGAGTCTGGACCGTACAATCCAGTGGTCAACATCATGAGCATCGATCTTCACAAATGGGAACCGATGACATGTGTCAACCAAGCGTAACCACCCGTTCCGTTCGACGCCCCTGACGACAAGCATGGGTTACTGAAGACTCATTCTAACCCGGGCCTTCACGGGTATTTAGAATTCGTAGTCACAACATGACTGAAATAATGTTGATGTGACTTTGAGTTCTAACTCACTCACTCATCCAGCCAGGTTGAAAATAAATACTTTACGGGGATTCGGCGCTTCGATTCTTTACAAGTCACTAATATCCGTGTGATCAACATTTAGGTTAACAACAGTGCCGCGACAGATCATACTCACTCACTCTCTCCATTCTGTTATCACACGGAAGAATGACACAACACACATTAAGATGCAGGCACATATCAAATCGGAACTCATTAAATGTTAGATGAGTCATACAAGGTTGTATCCTGTCTCCAGAATTATTTACTGTGTTCATGAATGTTTTACAACCAGGAATGTCTAACCTACAGCGAGCAAGATATTGATTACGCCGTGTTTCTATTCCCATCCTCGACTGTCCTTCCGTCCGTAATCATTTTGTTTTGATCATAATTAAATAATCGTTTAATATTTTAAACAATAATTGGTATATAATTATCAAAGAGATTCTAAAGTAGTGCCTTTTGCTATTTACAGACTTTTTTCACTTTTATTTTTTAGTGTTTCCATGGAAACGTTTTGGACTTAGTCCCAAAAGGGAGGGGCGGGCTTCGTTTTCGGTGGAAAACTCAAACAACGTTCAATATCTTTCAAGAAAACTTGGCAGATATATGAATCAGAACATAAAGTGGTGCTTTTTGCTATTTATAGACTTTATACATTTTTAGTTTTCTAGGTTTCCATGGAAACCTTTTGACATTAGTCTGAAAGAATCAAGTTGGACTTTAAGTAACTGTCAGATGAATTGTTCTTTCAAATCTGTGTGGGCTGATGGGATTTGTCATCCTTTGATGACTCTTGTTTATCATATGCTGAAGATAGTCCTTTTACAGCAACCAGTGAGCCCGTTTTAGTTAATCGCTGGCTGAGTGACAGTCTGTAAAGGCATAGCATATCAATTTCAAATCGAGAAACATAAGATCAGTAAGTATACCCAAATCAGTGATTTGCGATTCCAATGACATTTCCTGTAAATTCAGTAGATTGAATGACATTGGAATAAAGCCGTTCGAAATTTCCAGCTGGTACAAACATGTATTTCAGCCTGTTGTTGTAAACAGCTACCATATCGGAAATCCACAATAGTAGATTAGATGATAGAGACTAATTCATGGCGGTGTTATTTATTGTTAAACTGGTCGTAATTGTATTATATTTTTCTGTCCAGTACAAGCCCAACACAATGTGCTCTGACAATAATTTGCTGTCAGCAATATCTTTGTATTGAATTTGAGCAGTGGCGTGGAAGTTAACCTATTTAGATACATTGAAATCTTCCAGTGAGTGAGTTCATATTTATCGTCAAATCAGCAATATCCCAGCCACATCGAGACGAGAACGATTAATAAATATATTAAAGATCAATACACCAGAATTAAAAACCTGTTGATGATGACGAATACAGCTACAAGCGTATCACAGATATCAAGTAAAACTAGCGTGCTATCATAACACGATATTATAACATGAACAATACAAAATATAAACGGGCTCTATATTGTAAGTGGGGCGGTGGGGTGGCCTAGTGGTTAAAGCGTTCGCTCGTCACGCCGAAGACCCGGGTTCGAATCCCCACATGGGTACAATGTGTGAACCCCATTTCAAATGTCCCCCGCCGTGATGTTGCTGGAATATTGCTAAAAGCGGCATAAAACCAAAACTCAGTCAGTCAGTACATCGTAAGTAGATTACCAAACAAGACGCAATGGGGACTTACAATGCATCGGCTACCTGCATGGCCCCTAGCTGGACTTATAGCACCCCATCAACCATTGGCGATTTGAATCCAATTAGGTAAAGAATAAAATAACACGTATACTGCAATTAGATACACGTATTATGGTCCATGCCCTGAATTAAATCCCAAACATCCCCCCTAACAAGTCAAGGTTTCCGTCATGTTTTCACAACTGAAACTGGCGTCGTGAGTTTATAGCACAAGAACTTAGTTTCCGCTGTTGCGGAAACCTAGTGAATACTGGGTAATGTAGGTTTCCGCTGGATTTCTGTACCCGGAAACTGACGAGTCTAGTGGTTTCAGCAGCTGAGATGAAATGACAAGCTTAGCTTGGTGCTTTTCCATTCGGGGATTATATCTACTTACTGTTACATTCGCTTTCTTCAGACAGAACTTTTCAATTGTGAATGTTTGTCTGTTTGTCTGTTACCATTTATAACATTTTATATGCAAACAACAAAAACCCAAACACAGTAACACAGTAAATGTTATGATTCAGCTGTTTCATTATTTTGAATAGCTCACATTTCAATAGAACTCAGCAAACAAATCAAAGCATTGTGTATGTATGTGCGCGCGCGTGAGCGTATCAGAAGGCACATCAAGAGGGAATCTTCAGCATTTCAGAACACAACTTCTATATGAATATGCAAAATTATCAAAATGTCAAAACATCACAAAATGTGTATGCAGGTGGTGAAATGAGTCCGACTCGTACAAGCATAACCTACTTGCTGTGGTATGTATTAACTAGATTTCAAAGCTGTGTTAATGTATCTTAACATATACACACTATCATAGTAAAGACTTGGCAACTCGCTGACAATCATGAAGCTTCTGTTGCACTCATACTGAACAGGCAGCGATCCTCTGATTGGTATATATGAAGCAGGGCATGAGTTGAGACATTTGTTTTGCCACACAGAGATCTCTAGAAAGGGGAAATATAACCAAGTTGGTTACAACAAGGCTTGAGCCAGGCCACAACCGCAAACAAACGGTGTACAAGTTTTTTTGCTCTGCTTTAGATGTATGTTGGTGAATGTGAAGAGTCCTGGTTGATGTCTACCACAACATCGATGCCATCTTCATCATCCCACACAGACAATACATACAATGCCTAGTAACACACTGCAAAAATAACACACGCATGCATATTCAAATGCAGGCAGGTCACAGTGGTACATCTGATAACAATGAAATTATAAATTAGAACGGCTACTTTTTGTAGATGTAACCAAACAATTGTTTTCACAATCACAAACAAAAGGTATGTAGCATATATTATTTCTTCCGTTGGACATTGTCAGTTATTTGATTTACGTAGACATTATTGATTGGAAAAGATACCAGTAAATAGTAGCCATTCCAGTGTACTGAAGCAAATTGTGGTAATGATAATTAACTGCCTTTGTACTCATATTCAAGGTATCATCTACTAACAAATTGCTAACTGAAATCTAAGGTATATCATATAGGTACAACTGTACATACATATTTTAAATAGATAGGAATCACGCTTAAACACTATAGTTAACGGTGTTCGGAAAAGAAAGTCCTCGGAAAAAAAGTACTGGTCAAAAATTGGAATTTTTAATATAAATTGTATATTTATGTACTTATCCTATCTCACGACTTGCACCGAATGGACCCAGATCACAACCCCGAATCAGATCACCTGATGATTCCTCACAAGTGTGCAAAATTTGACTTGGATCTTACGAAAATTAAATTAATGAAACATTTTTATGCTACGATATATTAACATGTAAGTCTATGGATATTAAGTCAAGTGTCCGAATACTTTTGGCAAAAGTTGGTGAACGGTCCATGATAGAGAACACCCTCCTCGACCCCCATACGGCTGATATAACGTTTTCACAATCGTGGAGACTGGTTCGCAGAAAGGCAAGAAAAAAGCTCGCCGATTCATATGGATTCACATATGTCATTCGGGAAAGTACAGATGACACTTCTTCCTAAATATATAACTTCATAAATGTAATATATAATAAATATATGTATAATTAATAAATACATACTCTATAAATAAGTTGAATGTCATCACGGTGTATAATAATATGTTTTTGTTTCAGAAATCAACAACTGCTCGAACATACTGGCGCTGCACTGTCAGAAACAAGACGACCACATGTCCTGCATCAGTTATCCAGTTTGGGAAAACACCGCCACTGTCATCCACCCCAACATGGCCAGTTGACAGCAATCAGAGTGAGAGTGGAGGTATTTATTTTGTGTGTTAAATAATTGACAGTCGCAGTAATTTAGTAGATTGTTAACTGGCCTTTAATTGAGCAGTGTATTAATCGGCCTGTAATTGAGTAGTGTATTAGTCGGCCTGTGTAATTGTTATATATTCTGAAGGCAAAGGAAAAAGCTGTGGGTGATATCTACAAGTCGGGCGCCAGCATTGTAGAGGAAGCTCAACAGAAACATATCAACCCTGACAAGCCTGGTGGTCGACAGAACCAAGCTACCCTAATACGGATGGCCAACCGTACGAGGGAGCTTCTACGTCCGAAGGAACCTAGGTCCTTAGACTTTGAGGTCAATGGTTTGTGATATGGTTGTGTAAAATACAGTGCAGTAATTATTTAAATATATTTAAATATATTTCAAATAAACTATACATGTGTAATGGTGCTATTTTCTACTTTCAGTTGGATGAAAACTTCCTGCCCTGAAGACTTCTTTCGTTGTGACGTGGGAAACAAAGGCGAGAGGCATCTAGTGTTTGCCACTGACCGGCAACTACAACACTAAGTCTTAAGTACGAGTAGGCAGTGGTTCATGGACGGTACTTTAAAGATTGTCAAAAAGCCGTTCCATCGACTACTGACTATTCATTCTTTTGTGCGTTCAGGTAGGGACTTTACGATTATGCCTCTTGTCCGTGTGATTATGTCAAGGCGAATGACATCGGACTATGTGAATGTATACTAGCGCCTACTAGAGGCTTTCCCCAAACAACCGCAAGTGAAGACTGTCATCCTGGATTTCGAGCAGGCTGCCTGGAAGGCCCTGAAGAAGACTTTGCCTGACATCCGCGTCCGTGGATGTTTGTTCCACCTGACACAGGCAGTTTGGCAAAAATGTGAGCTGGGCCTACAGGTACGTTCGGTACTTTGAATTATTCAATCATTGATTGTTATTTTGATAATATATAATTTATATATATATTTTATATATTCATATGTGTATGTACTATTCCAGGTAGCTTACATGGAGGAAGATGACATTCATAAGTTCGTAAGAAAGTTGATGTCGCTCCCATTTCTTCCCGCGGCTGATGTCTCAAGGCTATTCCAGAAGATATCTGATCGGGTTCGCACTCATGACAAGCTGCGATAACTGACTGACTACTTTGAGAGTAAGTGGATCTCCCGTCCTATATTCACCCGCACCTGGCCAGTCTTCAACATCGCAGTCAGGACGAACAACTTTGTTGAAGGCATACATTTCTTAATAAAACAAAGATTAATAAATTATTACTGATTCTTATACTATTTTGGCATTGTCAGGTTTCAATTTTTAGAAAGTTTTGTAAAAATTTGTTTTCTTCTGTTCAGGCTGGCACAGGCGAATGAATAACAAGGTGGGAGAGCAGTCATTGGGACTCTGCATGCATACCAGAGCTCCACCGTGAGGCCAGCCCCCTACCCCTCCAGACCAGGCTCATTCAAGAAGGAAGACTGAAGGCGTACATCCACAAGTCATCATCAGCCAGGCAGGAGGAGGTATTCGAACTGTGGAATTTGTTCAAGGATGGTGACATGTCTCTGTCACAACTTCTCTCAAGATGTGCAGCTATCCGGCCATGGACCAATCTTTCAGTGAATTCATGCAATGCATGAAAAGAGTCCTTACATTCTTACAGGGATTTATAATGTGTTATGTTGACGGTGGCATGTGCCACTGTCATTGGATCCAGAACCATATCTTCTCGTTTACCAGATAACAGCTCTATTTTTACAGCAGAAGCAAACGCCATCTTAACAGCTCTTAAATATATTAATAAACACCGTAAATATAAACAATATATCATCTTTTCAGATTCTCTTTCTTGTCTTCAGGCTATTAAAAACTTATCCTGTAAACATCCACTTTTGTTAGAACTTATTGAATTGTACAATGAACTTGCTACTGGCCAATGCGACATCGTCTTTTGTTGGTTACCCAGCCACGTTGGCATTTCTGGGAATACAATGGCCGATCTTGCTGCTAAGGCAGCACTCAACCAATCTGTGACACCACTTCTTATTCCTTACTCTGATTACAAAGCCAGCATTAGAGCATACATCCGCGATCTAATGCAGAAGAAGTGGGACACCCAAGTAGGTATTAATAAATTACATGCAATAAAACCCTACATTGGTTACACCTACTTGGGTTGTCAGTCCAGATTTGAAGAGGTCATTATGCGGCGATGTCGCATTGGCCATACTAGATATACCCATGAATATTTGCTTAAAGGCGAAGATCCTCCGTTTTGTATCCCTTGTGATGAAAGAATCACAGTCAAGCATGTCTTGCTTGACTGCATTGAATATTCCATCACAAGGGATATCTATTTCACATCCAAAACTCTGAAGGATCTTTTTAATAATGTCAGTTCTCATTTAATTCTTGCATTTTTAAAAAATTAGATTTGTTGAGTGATTTGTAAATAGATATATATTTTATTATTGGTAGTTTAGATTAGCAACTGAGATTGTTAGTGGCTGTATCCTCAAAGGGGGTTGAAGTATTGTAAAATTATTGTCCTCCTGAGAGGGTACGTAAGTCCCAACACATTTAGAGTAAATTTAGGCTTACCACGTTTTTAATCGTAGAATATGTGTGCTTTTGATTTATGGCTAGATTTTCTCTTCTGTCGCCAATGGCTGAAGGGATGGTGTAAATCCAACTAGGATCCATGTAGGTAGCAAAAGTAATGTAAGTCCCCATGGTTCCTAGTATGGTGATCTACCTTCAGTTATTGGCGATCTATAGTCCGTTTTTATATTGTATTGTCATTTCAAATTAACATATTTTAGTTTAATTGCTGGTTTTACATACATATCTGTGATATTCTAGTTGTTTTACTGCCCTTCGTTGGCAGGTTTTTTATATCATACACATATTCCATTTCAATCTCAAATGTTCTCGTCACGATATGGCTGAAATATTGCCGATGTGACGTTAAATAATAACTCACTCACTCACTCACTGTTATGTTGACGGTGCTGTTGTTATCAACTTTCTAATCTTGTTGTTTTATAAAATGAGTGAGTGAGTTATGGTTTTGATATGCCAGCTTTTACCACGACGGGGGGACACCAGAAATGTCAATGAAATGAACCTCAATGTTTTATACATGTTGATATAATTTTGCTAATGTTATAATGAAATGAAATAGAACATAAAATTCGAATTCATACTTTGTTTTTCATATATGGCGCCGTTTTAGCTCAGAAATCCGTTTAGTTGTTGGCGATCTATAGCCCGTGTTTTATAATGTATTGTCTTCTTCAACTGGAATGTTTTAGCTTTGCTTGCTAGTTTTATATTCATATCTGTGATTCTCTGGTGTTTTTACTGTCCATCGTCGACAGGTTTAATCTTCAAATTGTTTTCACTTTTTATTGTATAAATAGTTTTCGTCACGATATGACTGAGATATTGCAGAGGTGACGTTAAATATTAACTCACTCACTCACCGTTTTCGCCAATATGGTGCCGTTTTCGCCAAATACATTTGGTGCCATTTTAGCTATAACCCGAGTAAAATAAGTCTATTTAGAAAATAAATATAATAATAAGATAATTTTACAAGTGCATAACATTGGATTTGTGCTTACTATGGTACATAGATACCTTTAGTAAATGTTTATTGAATATGATTATTTGTATATAATGTATTTGTTATATTTAATGTATTTGTTTAGTTCATTTAGGCTGTTGTGAGAAAACTTTTATCATGACTTATCCTGGAGAAAAGATCACTCTCGCTTATTGAAGGTATGTGTTTATGGTACTACGAAACAGACATAATTTCATTTTGGATAATTCATTATTATGCTTCCCTACATACATTTTCACAAAATGAAACATACTAAAGTTCCATTTGCAAATGGACTTGAATAACCGGTAAACTTAATAATCATGATTTCAAATTGGAACAATCAAGGCTTAACGTCACACCTGTTTGAAATTGCAACCAAACTGACCCCTTGATCTGTTGTGACTTTCATTATAAATAGTTCATAATTTCCAATGAATGGTACAGAGACAAGGTTTATAGATGTCAACGTCCCTATTATGAGAAAAACGTTTCAGAGTGAATGCTTACTTCATCAGGTGAAGTCTTGTGTTATTGACTTCTAAATGTACGGATTTGGAAATGCGGAGACTTCTATATTGGTGAAACATCCCGCCCGCTCCCACTACGAATCAAGGAACATAAAGCGTCAGTCCAGAAAAACGACTCCAAATCCGCCATAGCTGACCACACCCAAGCCAACCCTGACCATGCCATCCTATGGAACAACATCGATATCCTAGAAATCAACCGACAAGACTACAAAATTAGGAAACTCCTTGAAGCCATAAACATCCAACGCCACAACCCCACCATGAATCGAGATCAAGGTTATTTCATCTCGTCAGCCTATCACCACCTAATCAAACACCACCACCAGTAATCCTTCCCTACCTCCTTTGTCCATCTGGCTTCCATGCTCCCTCCGTTGTGCTTGTAATCACAAGTATTGTACGTCAACTCAACAATTGTATAAACTCAACCTTAATCACAATCAATCACTCTGTACATCAACCTCCTCTGCTGTAATCACTTATCAAATATCCAATGTACATCAACCTTGTTAATTGTATATACTCACTATACAGCTATGTATATGTTCTCCTTGCTTCAGTTGTTGTATCACTTGCTTGATAACGGTGTTAGTACCTACACCGAAACGTCGCACTCATTGCAATAAAGAAGTTGACTATCCATACAAATCAGTTTTCCTTCATCTTCACAACTTCTAAAATGCCTCTCAAAGAAATATATTGATCTTTAATATAATTATAAACTGTTCTCGTCACGATATGGCTGAAATATTGCCGATGTGACGATAAATATTAACTCACTCACTCACTCAACAATACGAACTGTAATAGATTGAATACAGTATTACATGGCAATGCCATGAAAATCTAGTACCTATTTACTATAGAAATATTCAGATATATATAACATATTACAACCTCTTGTCTGGCAAGCATGTAACTCCAGAGCAAAGTTTTTATAGATTTTGTGTCCTCTTTAGAAAATAGGATATTCCATTCTATCAATGAAGTGTGATGAATTTAATAATTTAAGTTTTGCGAAAAACAATGCAAAGTGTGGATGTTCAATTTGGTTCTTATTTTTATTCAAACTTCATTTTGGATTACTTATTTTAATTATCCTTGGCATTGGCAATTTTCTGTTGAGTGATGTTTGTGTAATTTATTGAAATAACCTAGTAATTCATTATTACCTGCCATTTTCAGAAACTTGCACAGCGCCAAAAAAGACTAGCATCTATCGATGGGGCAGATAGATGAAAGATAAAGGTAGCGACAACACTCACCATAGACATGACATCACCAGTCGTGAGTGACGAAGATGACGTCAATTTGTTGCATTCCGCCCCCTTTGTCTGGGAGTCCAGCAAGCTTAGGGCATACACGACGACACTGGACTTGGAAAGAATCTGCACCGCCACTGCCCTAGCCAAGGCCAACATGAAAACGAGGATGAGACATCCAACCAAAGTAACAAATGGATGTCCCTTAGTGGGCTAGTAACTAACTGACCAGATCCTGCAATTTATTTGAATTTATTTTCAATTTCATAATATAATTTTTATTGTTTTGTTTTTTGTATTGCAAGCTATATGTTGTGTTATTGCATGATGTATATCATAGTGAATGTTTGGCGATAGTTGTGACAGAGAATGTGTGGCTGACTGTCAAGGCGTGCAAGAGTTATTTCAAAATAATAACTGAATGAAAGTTTAACTGATGATAGTACTACCTTGTTATAAATGATATATGATTTCGTGAATTGGATTAAGTTATCCCATAAATGTTTTGATCTGTTATTTAGTGCTATATTATTAGTTGTATGTATGATCTTTATTTGTCTTAAATGCGAATTCATATTCATGTTATGAAAATAAAACAGTGAATCCTGTTATAAATTCTGTTGTTCTCTATGTAAACGTTGTGATTATAACAAATTGCGTTTATTGTTTTAAACAAGAGTGTATAATATGAATACATAAGAATGTTTAAAATTGGCTCAATGGAAACGTGTATGAAAACCTGTGAACCTGAAACTGAAAATTGTAACTGAAACTATGTCGGGTTGTTGGTAACTGAAACACTGCGGAAACCCTTAGAAAAGAACGGATATTCACTGGATTCTAGGTGGAAACTTCAGTTTCAGTCCACTTTTCATCAGGTTTCTGAATTGCGGAAGCCAAGTTATTTTTTCTGTTAAGCTGAAGCTCAACGAGGAGTGTTTTCTGGTAGGGACTACAGCTCGCCGAAAACAGACCAACATCAAGTCGTTTCACTTTGGCAAAACCTCAGTTCTACTATTTAACAGTGTTAGGGACCTTGGCGTGACTGTTTATCTGGAGTTGTCATTGGAGGTGAGGTGAAATTGGGTGTAACGTCGTGCTTGAGAATATTTCGCTCATATGACGACGGTCATGCGTGTGTATGTGTATGTGCGGCTGCTTGTACTAGCCCAGACTGAAGCTGGTTTTATAGTGCTAGCCCACTGACATACCATGCCGCAGTGAAGCATGAATACCCCACTCAGACACATTATACTGACTCCGAGCCGACCAGTCCTGGT